TTATATATATATATGCATATATATATATGTACATATATGTCTTTGTGAGTATTTCTCTTGAGTGAATTTCTAGATATAGAATTGCTGAATAAAAGGGAATGTATATTTAGGGTTGGGGATGTGGCTCAAGTGGTAGAGCGCTAGCCTGGCATACGTGAAGCACTGGGTTTGATCCTCAGCACCACATGAAAATAAAATCAAGATATTGTGTCCACCTAAAAAAAAAACTAAAAAATAAAAACTTTTTTAAAAAGGGGGAATGTATATTTAAATTTTTATTGGACAATATAAAAATGCTGAAATTGGTTTAGAATCCCAGTCATGGTTAGCCCCAAGCAGGGGCAAGGAGAGGCTGAGGCTAGAGACAGGGGTGGAGAGGTAAACTGCCCACCACTTTAGCCCTCTTCTTCAGCAGCGATAATCCTGTGTTCCTAGTCCACCCATAGTTCATTGCCACAACGGTAATATCACAAATGGAAGAGCCAGACTTAACAGGACAAATAAGTTTTTGAATTTAACTTGAAAATTTAATTCAGTCATAAATTGGGCATGAAAACAAAATGAGACAATTCTGGTTATCTCTATAGAATTTTCTATTTGTTATTGCAAACCAAAGGAATTTTACTAAAATGTATTGCCTAGCCTTTATTTAATTTGAGCATTTCTCATTATTTTATCTCAAAAATAAATTCTTCCCATACTCTCTCTCTCTTTCTGTTTCAGGCTTATTTCCCTTTATACTTCTTATAAATTAACCTGGTATTACCCTGAGAAGGCTGCTCATGTTTCCATGGTTTGAGCTTTATTAAATAGAACTAAAAATATAAATCTAGGATCAAAATGCAAAAAAGGTATTGAACACCTTTTTAAATATCATAGATGCAGCAAATGGGATGACATGAGGGTTAAGAATGCAGACTGCCTGGATCTAAATCCTGGGTTCCTTGGGCACTGATGGACCAAAGCATCACCTCCAAACGGCTCCACTTCCTCATCTGCAAGACTAGGTAATAACARGGTTAGGGTTCTTTGCACAGAATCTGACACAAAATAATGTTAATTGTTATTATTTATTCTAGCATAATAACCAACTCCATCCCTCTTAAAGTTCTGAAGATGCTACAGTGCCCATGACCACGTAGGCCTTGGGGCAGCTCTCTGTGAGTTGACAGTCATGCAGTGACCAAATCAGAATGATAACTGCTTCAGGAAGAGAAGCCAGGAGTTGGGCTCAGTTTTAAACTGTACTTTAGATGCAACACGATAGATAATAAGAGCCCTGGCAAGGGGATAATGGCTAACCTTTGCTGAGCGCTACTCTGTCACACTCTTTGAAGCATTTTATAAGCATCTTCTCGATGTACGCTCACAATAATCCTATGGGATAAGTGTTGTTATTACCATCGTCTTTTTTCTCAGAACCAAGTACAGAGTGTTAAAGTGATTTGCTCTAGGTCACACTCTTATTTAATAAAGTGGTAAAACCAGGCGCAGTGGTGCACACCTGTAATCCCAACTACTAGGGAGGCTTAGGCAGGAGGTCACAAGTTCAAGGTCAACTTGGGCAATTTAGTGAGAGTCTGTCTTGAAAAAAAATTTTTTTTTTCTTTTAGAATAGAACTGGGGATATGGCTCGGTGGAAGAGCACTCTACAGAGTTCAATGCCCAGTACCATATACACACAAAATAATCATAATAATGGGGTGGCATAGGTCAATTGACTAGAACTTATGCTCTTAACCACTAAAGAGGTCAAAAATGATGTCAAAAAGAGATAAACTGCAGCTACAACAAAAAGAAAAATTAGTATTGTCAACTTACATCTCTGGAGCATCTGCAGATAGCAGATCTGCTCTAAGATAGCAGACACTGCTCTAAGTGCTGTTGACACATGTTGGGAAATGTATTCCTTATGAAAAGCTTAAGTATGTRTTACTGATCATATTTTTATGGACGGGGCTTGGAACTATTGAACACAAAGCTCACAAAAGCTCTTAATGGTAGAGCTGAGTGTCCAGAGCATGTCTCCAGATTCCAAGTCCCAAGCTTTCTCCTCTATCAGTAAGAATTCCAAACACAAAGGAATCATTCCTCTCAATCATCAAATATTTACTAGGCACTCGTGTCAGGCACAATGATCAATATAGGCATGGTTCCTGCATTATGAGACAAGAAACCAACTATATATGATAATAAGTGAATAAATAACATCATATCATATAATTGGTAGGTAATTAGCACCATCACAGCCCCCCAAAATAACTAATTTATTTGACATGTTTTAAATGTTATTTAGCCAGTAATAGAAAAATAATTCTAATTCTGAAAAAAATAAAAAGAAACATATGTTTTTCATGTATTCTATCATATAATACCAGACCTGCCTCTGAAGAAAGATATCTAGGACTAAAGCATTTGGGGAATTACTGAGTTTTGCAATTTTCCCACCTGTGTGATCAAGAGTACAATAGCCCGGGCAAATTGTCARCTTTTGCATAGACTTGCTCTGGATTTAATAAGAATTAAGGTTGAATCCTGCTAATAGTTTTGAATCAAAATATTTACCAATTTCATCAGAAAGGAAACAGTAAAAGATGATAGGGAAGTTAGGAGCAAAATGAGCACAGGGTTGTTTTTTGTGGGGTTTTTTTTTGTTTTTGTTTGTTTGTTTTTTAAGGCACAGACAGTATCCGTTATGGATTAACATTGAYTTACTATAATTTCAGAGCTTTGAAATTATTTTTTTTAAATAGTTACTGTGTTAGTCAGCTTATTGTTGCTGTTACTAAAATACCTGACAAGAACAATTTAGAGGATGAAAGATTTGTTTTGTCTTACCATTTCAGAGGTTTGAGATCTACGGTCAGAGGCTCCATTTCTTTGGGCCCGAGGTGACGCAGAACATCATGGCAGGAGGGTATAAAGGAGGAAAGCATTCAGTTCATGGCAGCCAGGAAGAAGCTAGGGGGAAAAATAAGCTGCMGAAAAGATAAACCCTTCTAGAGCATGTCCCCAGTGATCTATTTCATCCATCTAGGTTCAGCCTACCAGGAGCCCATTCAGCAATCAATGGATTGATAAGTCCACTGATGAGGTCAGAGCCCTCTTGACCCAATCACTGCCCAGTCAAATGCCCCATCTCTGCACCTTGCTGCATTGGGGACCATGCTTTCAAAATGAGGCTCTGAGGGGCATTCCAAATCCAAACTATAACGTCTATATATCAATTATAATCCACAGGATTACAATTATTATTTATTATTAATATTAATTATTATAATTTAGATAGGATTTAAATCTCTCATTGTAACTGTTTTAGTAAATTTATAATGATTTAAACTATTTTCATGATCTTTTCTTAAAATGTATTAAACTAGTAACATATGTTCATTATAGAAAAATTACAAATGTACATAAGCATGATGAAAAAAATAAAAATCAGCTAAAAAGCCTGGTTCCCAGAAACAGCCATTGTTGACATTTTGGCATACATTCTTCTAGTCCCAAATTATATATCTGTCATTGTTCTTAAATAACCTGTAAGTTAAAAGTTTCTATATCCATTTAATTGTAAATGTTCTTCATATTATATATATGTATACATATATATATACATATATATATATACATATCATTTCAATAGTTGTATAGCATTCCCATATTATATAGATAGATAATCTGTGTGTGTGTGTGTGTGTGTGTCTTTATCTGTTCTTCTATTGTTGCACAATAAGGTTATTTTGAACTTTTCACTATTATAAGTGATGCTACAAGGAATATACTTAAGTACATTTCTGTTATATTAGTACAAACTTCTACTTCTAGTGTTATTTAAGGATCAAAGGGACTTTGTTGTTGTTGTTTGCAATACTGGGGATTGAACTCAAGGATGCTTTACCACTGAGCTACATCCCCAGCTTTTTTTATTTTTATTTTTTTATGTTGAGACAAGGTCTTTCTAAATTGCTGTGCCTGGCCTGCAACTTACCATCCTCCTGCCTCAGCCTCCCAATTAACTGGATTTATATGCATTTGCCACCATGCCCAACTCAAAGGGGTATATTTTTGTGGCTTTGGCTATACACTGAATTTAATTTATATATATATATATATATATATATATTTTTTTTTACTTTGAAATAATTATAGACTCATAATATTTGCAAAAAAATGGTACAAAGAAGTCCCTTGTACCCTTCACCTAGCTTCATCTTATATAATTATAATATATTATAAAAACAAAAAAAACTGACATTGGCACAATACAATTAACTAGACTACAGGCTTTACTTGGGTTTCACCAAATTATTTTCTATAACAGAACCTACTTTCTCTTCTCACAAAGCTGCCATTAGAATGGCTTTCTAATCTCCTGTAGGAAAAATAATACAAATATATGTCATAGATTATTTTCTCAACTGAAAATCAAGAATGCAAGAATCTTTCACCAGATTTGAAGGTGGATAAAATCACTGTTTGTGATACAAAAAAAAAATGTTTCTGTCTTCTTGATTCTTTATGATACACTGGAGCATAGTTTCTCCAAAGCCTGGGATACCCAGGACAAAAAGTGAATAACTGGATCACAGACTGGGAAAGTTGTTCCCTTGTCCTTCTTCTTATGATTAGGTTTAGGGCTAGTCTTTAATGCCTCTCTAACTCTTGCTAATTCTCCCTTTTAAACACAAATTGCTCAGGCCTCATGTTTAAGTCTAGGAAGACAATAGCATTTGACTGGAATTCAATGGTATTCTATTACTTTAATCAAACATGTATTTACCTTCACCTTCAAACTGCAGCAAGTGAAACTGGTTTCTCATTTACAGAAGTGTTTTTTTTTAATTTCCTTTTAAAATAAGTTATTTCAATTAGGAAAGTGAGTTGCTATTCTTTAAAAGTATGTGATTATGGAAAAAAGACATAAAGATGGATTAAGGATACATTGTGTTAAGAGTGTTCTGGTGGATAAAGAACTAACCACATGTACCTGCGTGTTCTTCCTCAGGTTTTGTAGGGGTTAGAGTGAGAACCCTCTGGCTCCTGGTTCTTTTATGAGATCTGCTTACCAAAAAGAAGAAAAAAAAGAGATGAATCCTGTATCTATTAAGCATTTATTGTATGCATCACCACATTTGACTCCTCTGAACAACCCAGTGAAATAGATGCTCTTAATAACCTCGTCTTATACATGAGGAATCAGAGAGAGAGTGGAATGGAGAATTTGCCCAGCTGATCTGTTAACTGTCAGAGCTGGGATTTAGATGGSTTCTATTGGACTCCAAAGTCGTGCTCTTGATTGCTGGTTCAAACTGTTTCTCATTAAACTTAAGGACCATAAGTCCTCCCCAGAAAATGTACCCTGGCTCTTTGTCCTCAGCACCAGTTTGGATCACTTTACTCTAGGGCTGGTGTTTGCAGAGGAGCACCCTCTGGTCCACTCCTTGCCTGCAAACATCCTCCTGATTGCAGAGGAAAACTCACAATTAACTTCATTCCAGGTCTTTCAAAGGCAGGATGTCCCACAGCCATCCACCCCCTGCTGGTCTGCCTTCCTTCATTTCCACTGTTGGAAAGATGCCCACTCCCTTTGTCCCAGTCCTTGAATAGTTCCAAAGGTTCCCTTGTATCACTAGAAAATCAAGTCACMTGGGCAAAGTCAACTCATGTCGGCAGATAACAGAGCTTTATTTACATATTAAAACATTCACCCAGGTCCATACTAGGTACTAAAGGAAGAGAGCAAGAAGTAGAGACCCTGGCCTCCACCAAGAATGTAGTGAGAGTCMGAGAGACTTGACAAACAAGCAGCCCTCACACTTCATATTTCCAASCACCTGACCTCCTAGGAGGGACCCTTAAGGAACTTAAGGATTGGATTACAAATGGTTAGCTTTACAGCAGAGATCCTGAGAACGTCAAAGGCTGAGAGCCAGTCAATTGAAAACACTGAATCTCTAAAGTTATAATTCCAGTAAATAATTTGATCTACAAAAGTTATCTGCATGTTTGTTTTGTAATTTAGAGTAGGCTTCCTTAAAGGTAATTTGGGAGCAGGAGTTAGGGATGGGTTTGTGAAACAGGGGCTGAGGGAGAGCTAATCCAAGGATGAGTTATTGTGTYAGTACCTTTATGAGCAAGTGGTGCTCATCGTGGGATCYTCTAAGGAGCCTTATGAAATCTGAGGACCATCCCAAAGGATGAAAAGGAGCATTTATTCACACACGGCCCATCAGTCAAAGATGATCCACACCTCTGGGTCAAGCACCTTTGAGCAAGTTCCCAATGATAACCACCCTAAGATACCATCTCACTCCAGTAAGATTGGCAGCCACTATGAAGTCAAACAACAACAAGTGCTGGCAAGGATGTGGGGAAAAGGGTACTCTTGTACATTGCTGGTGGGACTGCAAAATGGTGCGGCCAATTTGGAAAGCAGTATGGAGATTCCTGGGAAAGCTGGGAATGGAACCACCATT